ATCCCATAAGAGCCGAGCATACACCCAGCAGCGCTGCTGATGCCTGAACGGTATGTGGAATGAAGTGGGCGGGCATCGGGAGGCCACTATGGCACGGGGCAAGCACTATGGGCAGTCTATCTGAAGTGTACCTGGCGTATAAGACGACCCCCCACTTGGAGGCATATTTTTCAGGGCCAAAAAATCGTCTTATACGCCGGCAAATGCGGTACCTGTGAATCTTTGTGGTCCGGGATTTTTGTTTGCTGGGAGTTTTTTATTATTTATTTTTTATTATTGCTTCAATTTCATTAGTTGTTGAGACTTCCGATATTCGGCAATGACTGAGCTAATGCTGTTCAGAATATTTGTTGCCAGTCTTTAGAACCCAACTATTGACTTTGATTATATTAATTCTGTTCTAAATAAATATATAATAATCTGTTTAAAAAGATTTACTTAATAATTTTTTATCTGCATAGTATTTTTTTCAGGATTCACTTTGGTTATTTTGTTAGTGTTTAATAATATGAGACTTTATAGGACTTGAAGTAACAAGGGTTAGACATTTCAACCCCTTCATTGTTAGAAAGGCTTTAATTATGGATGGTGAAATTCTCCTGATATTGAAAGATGACCCCATGTCTTGCTGACTCACCAAATATCCTCAGGCATTTGGTTCTTTAAAAAGCTCCACCAGATGAGAATAGATCTGCAGTTTTGGATATTGTGGCATGAAGTAAGCAAGGAAGGAGACTCGTCGATTCTTGCTGCATTTACAGGGGAATAAATTTTAAATTCTATTAGAAAAAATAAGATATCCAGGAACTCCAAAATGAGTTATAGAATTGATGAGGTTTCATATATGTAACTAGTTTATTAAACATATTATATGATTTAAATGTCCCAAGACTATTTGACTCAGATATGGTACTGAGAGTGTGGTTTTTTCATGGTTTTTGTGCTTGGGTTCATTGAGTTTCTTAAATCTGTGGGTTTTAGTTTTCAAGATTTGAATATTTTCAGCCATTTTTTCTTTAAATAACTTCCTCTCTGTCTCCTTTGTGGTTTCTAATTGCAAGCAAATTTTGTTTTATTGTGCATTTCTTTATTGTGGTTTATAGACACTCAGTTGCGTTTTTTATGAAAGAAGTGGGTGGGGTTGTGGTAGATGTGGGAGGGATAATCAGAAAGACTTGTTGATGGATTGTTCATGGGGAAGGGTGGCCAGAGCTTCTAAGGAGGAGAGACTTTTTAGGAAGAGAGAATGTTTATTAGCAGTATTTGGAGGTAGGATAGAGCCAGGTCTCTGCTAACCCGAGGCCTAGAAGATAAATGGAAAGTTCTGATAAAAGGTATAGAGAGTTATTTCATCATAGAGCAAGAGTTCTTGAGGGTATAGGATTCTATAGATAATGTCCTGGGTCAGATTAGGAGATATTGAGGACAATATGGGATTGACAGGAAGAGTGATAATATATACCTTGGGAGGCTTAGACTTCCTATAGTGACTGCAGTGAACTGTTAGGTAGCATAGGCTGTGCCCTTCTGGGAGCAGGAGGACATTCGCTCTAGTTCTGTGGTCTTTAATGCTGGCTTCTAAAAGGCTTCTTCCTACGCTAAAACATCCACATAGAACCACAAAAATGTATTGTATGAAGCACTTAGAGATTATTTATATTTTGAAGATAGAGAAAGAACTGGTTCCTCTCACTTTTTTTTGGTAACCTTAACATTATCCCCATGCTGTAGAATGTTTTTCCAACATTGTATTTTTTAGAATGAAAGTATCATGTGAAAAAGGTAAACCTGCAAGACTTATTAGGGCCATTTAGTTTGTTTTTAATTCATTTTTGTGTAGTTTTAAAATTTGTTTTCATGTTTGTTATAATTGAGGTTTTTTTTTTATAAAAAACTTTGTGGTATAAATATGTGTTCATAGGCCACAGGTCTTATTCCATGTTCTTAATAGCATTTAACAAACTAAAAAGGCCTTCCTCCCTATACAAGGTTTATTTATTTATTTTGAGAAATGAATATGGAAGTGTATTTAAAACAAGATTATCAACTCAGACCCTGACAATTTTGACTGTGACCAAGAATTTGCTTTCTTTAGGCTACAATTTTGATTTAGGATTGTATTAGAATATTAACAGAAAAAGAATAAATCTATTCATTCAAAGATTAAAAGTATTAAAGTAGAGAAATAGTTTTATAAATATCTAAAAGCATATCTTGTCCATTTTTTTTATTGCTTAAAATATTACAGAGTATTACATATGTCTCCTTTTTCCCCCCTTTGGCATTTCCCCAGGCTCCCCTACCCCCCAGTGTCTCGTGTCCATTGGTTATGCTTATATGCATGCATACAAGTCCTTTGGTTGATTTCTCCTCTGTAGTTTGACAGTCTGTTCGATGCTGCTCTGCCTCTGTATCTATTTTTGTTCATCAGTTTATAATGGCCTTTATTATCCATAAATAAGTGAGATCATGTGGTATTTTTCTTTCATTGACTGGCTTACAG